GCCTCGCGTATCTTCATCAGCCTCCCAGAAACGATGCCCAGGAGAGCTGTCGAGATCAGGGATGTAGGTCAGATGTAGCAAACAAAGGAACATCTGGGAGCCTCCTGAAGGCATATCGGATCCATCTTGGATTTCTTTGGGGGTCAATTTGAAGCCTCACAAGCCCGTCGGAGTCGAAAAGGCGGGAAGACCAGAATGATTGAACAATTGTTTAGATGCTTGAGTTATTTATGCTTCTCGAGGGTGCGGTATCCTTTGGAGGCTCTGTGGCCATTTGGACCCGAGTTCGGGCGGTCTTGGGGCCTCGTGGAGGCATGCTGGAGGCCATGCTGGACCATTTGTGGATCTTCGATTCCGAGCGCAGTTTTACCTTGCGCGTTGTGGTCGACCGCTCCTGGCTGGGTGCTCCTGGCACCGCATCATGTGTACAATGCAATCAGTGGGGGTCGCACGCAGCCGCTGCCCTGCTGCACCGCCTTGTTGTCGGCACAGCAGGTGTAGAAACCAGCCGGCCAGTGCCGTGCAACGGGGCAGCGCCCAGTTTCACCGAACTGTCATGGACGGCAGTGGTATGCAGAGTATCCGCAAGAGGCGCCGCGCACACCAGATGCTGGACACGTCCTCTGCCCAGCTACGACCCGCGTCGCTTTCTCCCCCCTTTGCGGGCCGACGCCAGAAGTGGGAGGTGTGCACCTTCGCGCCGGCCGGCCGGGGCGGCGGCCGAGGCAGCGAGATGGGTGACATATCTCAGTTCGTCGATTGGCGCCGCACCTGTTGCGCCAACGAGGAGCGGCGTTTGCCAGGCTTGGCAGGGTCAAGCCGGCAGAGGGGGGAGAGCAGGAAGGAGGATCACCACTGGCACTCTTCGGAGTGAGGGGGGATCACGGGCGGCGGTAACGTATATTTTGTCGGGCGTGCTCGCGGGGGATCTTGCGCACCTGCATCCCGCAAATCTGCAGATATTGCACTGTCCACGTCCAGGTGGTGGGGAGTTTCCATCTCCCCAGGGCACAGGATGGGGATGACAGAAGCGGAAGCAGGAGCGCGAAGAGAAAAGAAGGACGACACGGAGCCATTTTTGTGACACGCCGAGCATGTTGTGCCGAACTCTTTCCAACTCTTTTCCCTCTTCCCCCACCCCGGTCCGCCTCTTGTCCCTCTTCCTCCCGTCCCTCCTTCATCTTATCCCTCAACCTTCCAACCTCCTGCTCCTCCTCATCCTCATCATCTTATCCCTCAGTCCGCGCACGATGATACAATATATCATACTAGAATTCTTATCCCTCAGTCATTGGATCATTCCTCTTCTCATTGTTTCAGCGCCCTCCTCTCTCCCTTTGTCATCTTGTTCCTCTCCCATCACTTCCCTCATCCTCTTAGTTTTCCCCCTCCTGACTCCCCCTTCCCTCATTCCTCCTTTGTGCCGTCATGGAGTTAAACCCATTGAGTCCAAGTCGCAGGAGCAGCGTCTGATCAAAGCGATGCCAAGTATGAGCTAGATGAGCGCAGCAACTGTGCGGTAGAACAGGTAGCGCGTGCGCCCGTGATCATGCAACCTGCAAGCCAGATGAGGAAGGTTTGCAAAAGAGTGTTGTCCTCGGGTCTCTAGGGGCTAGTTGGGGCTCCCTGGGGGCTCTGTGCGAGCCTCGTATAGCCAGGTTGGAGGGCCTGGGGGGCTCCTGTCGGCGTCTCTGGGCCCCCTTGGCATGTTTTCCGGGCGTCATGGAGCCGTGACGGGGCGACCCCTGGGCCATATTGGCCCTGAGAGGCATCATGGGCCGTCTTGCGGAGTCGCAGAAGCCAGGGTGAAATGCTTGGAAGCCTCTAGGGCTATCCTGAGTTGGAAAGGGGATGTTGTCAAATGCATGTGTTATGCACACAGACACAGACACAGACACAGACACAGACACAGACACAGACACAGACACATACACATGCACATGCACATGCACACACACACACCATCATAAGCTGCACGATGTTTAGACAGATCGGAGGCGCTCCGCGAATTATCTACCGTGCCTTTCTAGTGAGTCGGAATCCTCAGGGATGTTTCTTGGGGCCTCTTCGGGTCGCTCTCGGGGGCTTCTTGGGGGCAGTTTTGGGACGCTGGGGAGCTTCTTGGGGGCTTCTCGTGGGCTTCTTGGGCTTCCTCGGGGCCTCTTGGGGGCCTCTTGAGGGTTTTCTTGGAGCATCTTGGGGTCTTCTTGGGGGCCTGTTGGGGCCTCCTGGAGGCTTCTCGGGGCCAAGGGCTCGAAATGTCCGTTCGGGTCCTCCGTCTTGGCCCTCTCTTGGAGCCGTCTTGGGGGCTTTTTGGGCTGTCTTGGAGGCCTCTGGGGACGTCTTGGGGCCCTCTTGGGCCGTTTTGGGGTCCTCTGGGAGGCCTCTTGCTGTCTTGGGGCGATGTTGGGGGCCTCCTAGGTCGTCTTGGAGCGTCGAGAAGCCGAAAAGGCGAGAACGCCACAATCAATCAGAAACCGCAGGGAAATCACTGATGTGTGCCTCTGAGGGTCCTCTTGGTAGTGCTCTTTGGGCGTCTTCGAGCCTCTTGCGCCGTCTGGACGCCATCTTGGGCGGCTCGGAGCGGTCTTTCGGCGATCCCGGGCCCTCCTGGACCGTCTGGGCGACCTCCCAGGGCTGTCTTGGCCCGTTTGGGGGCCCTCCGGGGCCAGAGACCGTCCCGGAGGCCCACGCGAGACACCCCGGCAGCGCCCGGTATATAATACCGCCCGAGAGCGCTGGCGAAACCGGAGGTCCGGGCCCTTGAGCAACAGACAAGCCCTCCACCGCTCGGGTCTGCATGAGTCCACGAGCCTTGGGGCACTCCACCTCGTGCCAGAGGCACGGTGGCGGGTCTTGGGAATCCTGTTGGGGCTCGATCCGCCGTCGTCGAGGCATCCCGATGGTCCAGGGGTTTGTCATAGACCGCCTTTGATGGCACGTTGAGGAGGGCGGGCGGGGGGCAGAGACCCGGGGGCTTGCGGAGGTCGGACGATGGAAATAATCCCTCAGGAGATCATGCTGGCTAGTATGACTAAAAGACCGCCTCCCTCCTCCCCCGCACTTGGGAGTAAGGAGGATGGGGAGGAGGGAAGGAGCAAGGGAAGGAGGGAGGGAGGAGCAGGGGAAGCTGAAGGGCTGCACCACCATACTGGATCAGTTTACCTCAGCGTCGCCGTTGGGAGGAGAAGCTAAGACGAGGGAAACGTGGAGGGCAGGGGGTCGTACGAGGAGGAGGAGGAGGAGTGTGGAGGAGGAGGAGGAGGAGGAGAAGGAGGAGAAGGAGGAGTAGTAGGAGGAGAAGGAGGAGGAAGAAGAGGAGGAGGAGGAGGAAGAAGAGGAGAAAGAGGAGGAGCAAGAGGAGGGGTAGAAGGAGGCGGAGGAGGAGGAGGAGGAGGAGTTGGAGGAGGAGGAGGAGGAGGAGGAGTTGGAGGAGGAGGAGGAGGAGGAAATGGCGCCTTGAGCACGAAACGCGGCCGTTGACGGCAACGGGGCCCAAACAGGACCCATCGGAGTGATTCGCAATGCCATCTGACTGGAGTGTTGCGGGTGGCTCGTCGAAGAGTGCGAGGTTAAGGTTGGGAGAAACCACGGCCCATCGGAGGCCAACGCCGTCAAAAAGGGCCCGCCGCCTCTGGCCGCGACGCCGAGATGCCTGGGCCCCCCTCCCGTCGAAGTCCCACGGCGACGGCTGCGACGACAACGACGACGACGACGACGACGACGACGACGACGACGACGACGACCCCCACTACCTACGACGACCACGACGACCACGACGACGATGACGCCGACAACGCCGACCACCACCCCACGACGACTACGACGACGCGAGCGCCTCCAGAGGACCCGGCGCGGCCGCACAGCAACGCGCTGGCCGGCGTGCCCCGCATGCGGGGTTTGCTAGATGGTGCCCCTGGCCCAAGGTGCCCCCCAGCTTTTCATTCAATTTTGGAGCTGCTGGGGCAATCTGGGCCTCGTGAGGGCTGCACTGGAGGCCGTGAGGGCCTCCTCGGAAATGCTGGGGGCACCTTGGGCCAGGAGCACTTCTAGCAGCACCCGACGCATGGCGCCGCCCTCTGGCGCGGGGGCGTTGCTGGAGAGCCATTGCGACGCCCAGCTGCTGTTCGAGGCTGGGGGGGGGGAGTGGTGAGAGGAGGAGTAGGAGGAGGAGGAAGAGGAGGAGGAGGAGGAAGAGGAGGAGGAGGAGGAGGTGGAGTGGTGAGAAGAGGAAGAGGAGCGGTGAGAGGGAGGAGGAGGAGGATGAGGAGGAGGAGGAGGAAGAGGAGGAGGAAGAGGGGGACGAGGAGGAGGAGGAGGACGAGGACCAGTTGAAACCCAAGGGTCATTAACGATGTTGGAATTAACCCTCCCCCCCAAGCTCCCTCGTTATAGACCATACAACGGTTCATTTCCATTGAGGGAGCTGCCTCGCTGGAAGGGAACACTTTGACGATCCTGAAGCGTGCCACAACATTGTTCTCGGGAATACAACGCCACGTATCAACCTGACTGTTGCGCCTTGACGATGGAGGGGGAGGGGTGTGAGTTGGAGGAGGAGGAGGAGGAGGAGGAGACTGAGGAAACAAAGGCGGAGGAGGAGGACCGGAGGAGGAGGAGGAGGAGGAGGAGGAGGAGGAGGAGGAGGAGGAGGACAAGGACGAGGACGTGAACGAGTAGGAAGAGGACGGGGAAAGGGGATGATGATGCTGCTGATGATGATGATGCTCATGTTGTTGTTGATGATGATGATGCTGATGATGACGATACTGATGCTGCTGATGATGATGATGCTGATGATGATGGTGATGATGATGACGACGATGCTGATGATGCTGATGATGACGGTGGTGATGATGATGAATATGCTGATGATGATGCTGATGATGATGATGATGCTGATGATGATGGTGATGACGATGGTGCTGATGCTGCTGCTGATGATGATGATAATGCTGATGATGATGGTTATGGTGGTGATGATGAAGATGATGATGCTG